GCATGTGGTGCTGGGGGATTGAACTGCGGTCCCTGTGCTTTGCTTAGCTTGTTCTAAGTAGGTGCTTTAGACCACTGAGCCATCTCACCAGCCCCGATGATACCTTGATCTTGAGTTTGGACTTCTGATCTCCTTAAGTGAGAACTGTTTTATCCCGAATTAATTCCTCTTGTCATAAGCCATCCAGTGTGGACTGCTCTGTGAATCCTAATAATTACATTAAGGGAAGTAGGAGGATGGTGTGAACTGAAAGTAATGGTTTTGGGAAAAGAAGAAACCAGGGTATAAACTAGGATTACCTCAAATACATCCTTTCTGAGCTTCTTACAAATGAGCAAAATTTGTACAGAAAAAGAGCTAATATATGATCTAAACCAGCAGGCTTTAACAAAACAAAACAACACAGGAGGCTTCAATTGCATGACACAGAAATAGTCATAAGTTGTAGATAAAAAATTAAAATGAAGTATTAAATATATATATATAGGGGCTGGAGAGATGGCTCAGTGGTCTAAAGCACCTACTTGGAACAAGCTTGGCAAAGAACAGGGACCACGGTTCGATCCCCCAGCACCGCATGCCAGCCAGCTGCGCCCCCTGGTGGGCTGAGCTGGCCACACACACACACACACACACACACACACACACACAAATAAAAAAAAAAATATATATATATATATATATATATATATATATACCAACTGCACTAGAAAAAAAGGTGGAGTCAGCATCTCTAACATCAGACATACAAATGTCACCTATGACATATATTGTTAAGAAAAAATGAGGGCCGGGGAGATGGCTCAGTAGAATAAGCGCTTGCCTAGCAAGTAGAAGGCCCTGAGTTCAATCCTCGGTCCCACCAAAAAAAAAAAAAAAAAAAAGAAAAGTAGAACTGATTCTAAACTACATACAGGCTGTTTCACCCATGCGCTAATTCATAATAAGCAGCTGTGAAAGAACATTAAAGGGCCACAAGCTAGGTGTGGTGGCACACCTGTAATCCAAGCACTAGGAAAGCTGAGGCAGAAGGAGGATAGTTGTGAGTTTCAGGCCAGCCTATGCTACAAACTGAGTTCAAGGTCAGCCTGAACTGCAGGTGAGGCCACCTTCTTTTAAAAAAAAGAAAACAAAATTCCAGAGAGAAATTAGATTAAAATCAGGTCTTGGTTCACATGAAAAGACTAATATCTCTTTTTTTGTGGAGGAAGGGTACTGGGCATCAAACTCAGGACCTCACACTTGCCAGGCAGAGGTTGTGCCACTGAGTTAAAAGACAGGCCCTACTAATCTCTCTCTTTTGTTTTTTTAAAAAGCTAATATACATTTATCTTTACGAAGTTATTTTAGGGGCCAGGGAGATGGCTCAGTGGAATAAGAGCTTCCCTGGTAAGCGCAAGGGCCTGAGTTCAATCCCCTGTTCTGCAAAAAGTTATTTTAGCCAGGCATGGTGGCATGTGCCTGTAATCCCAGCAACCAAGAGGCTGAGGCAGGAGGGTTATTGTTAATTCAAGACCAGCCTGGGCTAGAAAGAGAGCTCAACAGCAAATTATAGCGGCTGCAAGCAGGCGCAGGGGCCGGGGTTTGATCCCTGGGCAGGCCTGCCATGCTGCCCCGCCCCCAGGGCAGGCTGAGACAGCAAATGAGACTGAGTATGGTGGCACACACCTGTAATCCCAGCTCTGGGGAAACTGTAAACAGACAGATCACTATGAGTCCAATCTAGGAGTGAGACCCTGAACACCCTGTAGACCCTTCTCTAAAATACTAAAAATAAAAAAGAAGGGCCTGAGAGAGAGCTCAGTAGAATAAGCGCTTGCCTGGCAAGTGCAAGGTCCTGCGTTCAACCCCTGGTACCACAAAAATAAATAGATAAAGTGAGCTCAAGACCAGCCTGAACTGCATAGTGAGACCCTGTCTCAAAAAGACACCCACCAAAAAAGTACAAAGAAAATGAGAATATATTATTTGTAACAAAGGAAACAGAAACCTGTAAGAGATGGCATATAAATATTATGCCAGAACATAATTGAGTAGCAATGCCTAGAGCATCTTAGAGTAAATAAAAGAGTAACAAAAATTTTTTTGTTTCTCAGTTTAAAATCACTTAGCTGAAACAGTGACAGTAAATATGAAAGGCTCTTTTGCAGTAAAATTGAAAAGGATAGTTTGACTCTTTTCTTAAAGAGTCAAAGGAAGCTTCTGTGGAAAAAAGAAGACTGGGTCTGAAATGGGAAGGTGTGACTGGATCCTAATTTTTTTTTGCTAATTTATTAGCTATTGCAGAATCTTGGACAAGTTACTTCAGGGCCTTGCTTTCCTCATCTACAAAGTGGAGATAATGGAGGCCCCTCCTCCACCCCTACAACCAGGGATTGAACTCAGGCCTTTGCGCTTGCCAGAGAAGCACTTATTCTATTGAGCCATCTCCCTGGTCCTTGGAGGTATTTTGTTGTTGTTGTTGTTGTTGTTTGTTTGTTTTGCAGTACTGTGATCAAAGTTGAGGCACTGTGCTTGCAAGGAAGGTGCTTATACTGCTGAGCTATCTCTCCAGCCTGGAGTTGTTGAAAGGCAAATAAAAATAGTGGATCAGAATGCTATATACCATTCTGAGGGCTGGCCAGATATCTTAGCAGATTAAAGTGCCTGCTTAGGCAGACGTTGGGACCGAGGTTCAATCCCCGATGTGCTGTGCTGGCCCTGCCAATGGGGTGTGCTGAGAAGGTGACTGAAATTTGGTGTGGTGGCACATGCGCACACTTGTAATCCCAGCGCTTGGGAGGCTGAAAACAGGAGGATCACTATAAATCCAATCTGTAGTGAGACCCTGTAAACCCTGTACTAAATACAAAAAAAAAGAAAACGCTATACTAGACCATTAAAAGTGTAAGTATAAGGTATTATTAGACAGCTATCCACTAGAAATGCATTAACAACCATTATTCCACTACATGCTGAAACTAATGGGTTATCTTGCAATGTTGGTGATTTTAATATTTAAAGATATGCTATAATAGGCCCGTCAATGTCAAATCCTTGTTGATCACCTTAATGCAAGTTAAAAGCAGTAGCAACACAATTGGTCTAACAATGTAAATAGGGAAAAATGAAACATGGATTGTAGCTTCCTAACTCCAGCAAATGTTTATTTGGAATAATATAGTTGTCTACTCCAACTGCACACCATCTGTTTCAAGTCTCAACCAAATTAATATTTCTCACATGAACAGAAAGACTAACATGACATTTGATTCATATCCTGAGTTCTCATGGAGGCTACCCCCACAGATCCGTGAATCTCAATATCTTAATACTGTATTATAAAGCATTACTGTCTTGGCCAAATGTACACAGCCAAAAGAGAATCTGAAACTGCAAGAAACAAGCTATCCCTACTCTTAGTCAAATATAACTCCTCCTCTCTTTCTCTGCCCTCTTTTCTTTTCTTCCTTCCTCCCTCCCAGCAGGGAGAAATGCTATCACTTTCTCACACCACTAAGGAATAGCCTTTCTAAGATTCAAACCTGGGTCATTTTAGTCCAGCAGATGCACTTGTGCTACGATGTCTCTGGAACACAGAATCTTTTAGTAAATCTTAACAGTCCCACTCTGACATACCACATATCACAATGTTAATCACTTCAATTTTCTCTGGTAGAACTTTAACCACTGTTATCTTCAACTAGACTGCCTTTTCTGCTTTTGATTTGCCCTTTCCAATTCATTCTTCACGTGGCAGTCGAACACCTGATTTAAATATCTAAATTTAAGGGCCAGCCAAAGAGCTCAGCTGATGAAAGCACCTGCTTAGGCAGACCCAGGGGTGAGGAGTTTGATCCCAGGCCTGCTGTGCCAGCTCCGCCCCCGGGGCATGCTGAGACATGATAAGAGACTGGGTGTGGTGGTGCAAACCTGTAATGCCAGCATTTGGGAGACTGTAAACAGGAGGATAACTATGAGTCTGATCTACGCAGCGAGACCCTATAGACCCTGCTCTAAATACAAAAATAAATAAATAATATATAACTTTAGTTGTAGTTTAGTATTTAAATGCCAATGGAATTCTATAGCTTACAAAAAACCAAACTTTTTATGTTTTGTGTTTCAGGGAAGGGTCTACAGGGTGTTCAGGGTCTCAGTACTAGATTGGACTCATAATGATCCGCCTGTTTACAGCCTCCCAAGAGCTAGGATTACAGGCACCAGCCA